CAATATTCCTCACCCCTGAGATCTTGCGCTTGCAGACGGACAAACACAAAGTCCTTCAGTGCCAGGGACACAAATGCAACATGGGGATGTTCTCAGCGTTTCTCTCCTGACAAATCCCAGCTGAACCCAACCCCAGCGCTGTTCCAGCTGCTGAACAGAACCAGCTCTGGCCCAGCTCACACCAGGACAGACTGATAAGAGATGATTGATCAAATGTCCCCAAAGTGTGAAGGGAAAAGAGGAAAATCCTTTGCTGCCAGAGGTAGTTTGTAAGAAAATAGCCACCAAGCCTTGGGGTTTCATCCCTCTGCATGCAGGGAGGATGTAGTTGCTGCCTGAAGGTCAGTGTTGAAGAGCCAAAAGCCAGACTAAGCCTCTTCTGCACATTGAAGTCCCATGAACATAACAGTGGCGTCCTGATAAGCATAAAAGCAAAGGCAAAAATTGCTTTTGAAGAGTGAAAATACAAGGAGGAAGTAAAAAAATAAATGGATGTTTTCCAGTGGTCGTCTTGGCTGGAATGGAGATAAAAGAAGAAACTCAGGAGGTCCTGGAGAAGAGGAGGCTGAGAGGAGATCTCCTGGGGGTCTAGAACTTCCTCCCAAGGGGCAGAGGAGGGGCAGGCGCTGATCTCTTCTCTCTGGCCACCAACGAATGCCAGGAGCAGAGGGAATGGCAGGAAGATGTGGCAGGGGAGGGTGAGGTTGGCCATGAGGAAAAGGTTCTTGAGGCACCCAGAGGGTGGTGGAGCACTGGAACAGGCTCCCCAGGGAGGTGCTGATGGCACCAAGCCTGACAAGATTCCAGCAGCATTTGGCCAAGGCCCTCAGGGACATGGTGTGAATGTTGGGATTGTCCTGTGCAGGGACAGGAGTTGGACTCCATCATCCTGGTGGGTCCCTTCCAACTCACAACGTTCAATGATTCTGTGGTTCTCTCATAAAAGCCTGGTTTGGGGCAGCTCATCCCTTGTAGGCACAGTCTGAGACCTTCCTGAGGCCGGACTGTCCCGTATCTTCCTGCGCATCTTCCCCAGGTGCGGTGCTGCCCCATGGGGACCCGTGGCTGCCCCTGTGTGACAGAGGTGTAGAGTTGGTGACGATGAGATCGGGGTGTTGAGTCTGGAGGTCGGAGGCATCTGTCTCTGTAACACCTTGATGTTTTTCTCTTGTTAGGAAAGCAGGTTGAGTGAGAAGAATAAGGGAGTCAAGAATGAAGAAGAAAAGGGAAAGGAAGCTCCTCCCAAAGACCTGGCCCAGAAAAAAGATACAAAAGTGGGGAAAGTCTCTAAAAAGGAAGAAAGTGTTCAGAAAACAGACCCCAAAGTTAAAGCTGAGGCTGAGACCAAGACCAAAGAGGAGAAGGCTATCAATGACAAAGTCAAGGCCATGGAGAAAAAGCTGCTGGGGAAGGACAAAAAGGAGGAAGAGAAGAGCTCCGTGTTAAAGAAGGATGCAAGGAAGGAGAAAAAGGAGGAGGAAAAGGGCTCAGCATTAAAAAAAGATGCAGGGAAGGATAAAAGGGAAGAAGAGAAGGACTCAGCGGCAAAGAAGGAGACAGGGAAGGACAAAAAAGAAGAAGAAAAGGGTTCTGTGCTGAAGAAGGGCCCAGGGAAGGAGAAAAAGGAGGAAGAGAAGAGTTCAGGGTTAAAGAAAGAGGCAGAAAAAGACCCAAAGGGAGAAGATAAGAAAGAAAAAGATAAAAAAGAAGAGGAAAAGAGTTCAGCTTTGAAAAAATCAAAGGCAGAGGAGAAGGAGAAATCCCAGCCGGAGGCAGAAAAGGCAGCGGAGGAGAAACAGGAGGCCAAGGTGGCAGCTGAGAGCAGCCCCTCCAAGCCCACCACCGGCAGCTCCCTGGATCAGGCCAAGGATGACGAAGCCTCCAGCATTTTTGATGAGCTCATCGAGAAGGTGAAGAACAACGACGCCGAGGTGACCGAAGTGAACGTGAACAACTCGGACTGCATCAACAACGAGACCCTCGTGCGCTTCACCGAGGCCCTGGAGTTCAACACCGTGGTCAAGGTGTTCGCCTTGGCCAACACCCGTGCCGACGACCACGTGGCCTTCGCCATCTCCATCATGCTCAAGTCCAACAAGGTGTTGACGAGCATCAACTTGGACTCCAACCACATCACAGGCAAAGGCATCCTGGCCATTTTCCGGGCGCTGCTGCAGAACAACACGCTGACGGAGCTGCGTTTCCACAACCAGCGGCACATCTGCGGGGGGAAGACGGAGATGGAGATCGCCAAGCTCCTGAAGGAGAACACCACCCTCCTGAAGCTGGGCTACCACTTTGAGCTGGCCGGACCACGCATGACAGTCACCAACCTGCTGAGCCGAAACATGGACAAACAGAGGCAGAAACGCCTCCAGGAGCAGAAACTGGCACAGGAACGTGGGGAGAAGAAAGATCTCCTGGAGGTGCCCAAGCCTGGAGCCCTGCCGAAGGGGTCCCCCAAGCCATCCCCGCAGCCATCCCCCAAGGCTTCCCCCAAAAGCTCTCCCAAGAAAGGTGGGGCACCCGCTGCACCACCCCCACCTCCTCCTCCGCTTGCCCCACCACCACTGATCGAGAACCTGAGGAACTCGCTCTCTCCGGCCACGCAGAGGAAGTTGGGAGACCGGGCGCTGCCGATGCAGGAGAAGAACTCTCGGGACCAGCTCCTGGCAGCCATCCGCTCCAGCAACCTCAAACAGCTCAAGAAGGCAAGTGCAGGGCCGTGGTGGGGTCCACCCACGGGGTTAGTCTGTGGGCTGAGATCTGAGGTCACGTCTGTTGTCACTGGGGTTGTGGAGAGGTGAGGGATGTCCTTCTCCAGTGCAGGGACATCCACGGTCCCAACCCCAATGTGGCAGGGACAATTCCACCCCTTTGCCAAGAACTCAGGGTGGGCAGATCCACCCTTGTGCCCCATCCCTTGGAGAGCAGGTGGGGTCAGCAGATCCATCCCTTGGCAGAGCATCCAACAGGAGAAGATCTATCCCTTGGTAGAGCCCCTAGGGTGGGCAGATCCACCTCATTCCAGGTTTGGCTCCAGGGTTCGGGGCACAAGGAAGAAGCCAACTTTAACCTACAGCCCCAGGGATGGAATCCAGGAGCTCCTCGTGCAGAAAAGGAGCGGAGCTTTGCCGCAGCCATGGTGACCCACCTGACCTGTGTGGACCAGTGTCCCTGCAGGCAAGACCACGCAGGCTCTTGGGGTGTCCAGGTGGCCCCAGGGTGCCCAGTTTAGGGTGTCCCATGCAGGTGAGTCCCCAAGGGTGGTAGCTCACCGAGCTCTTGCTGCCACATTGACATGGCTGAGCCCACAGCCCTGAGGGTGGGAGATAGTCCAGGGTGGCTGGAGAAGCTGTGTCCCCAGCACTGGTCCCAGTATGATACCTGGAAACATCCCACTGGCCCCATGTGGTTTGTGTCCCTGGCTGGGCTGCCCACGAGCTGGAGCATGAGGACAACCAGGAAAGAGATGTCCCTGGAGCACTGAGCATCCCTGGCAGCAGTGGAGAGAGGGGCCCAGCTCCACCATGATGGATCTACACATGGTCCCTGGGCTGTTCCTCCATCCCCTGTCCTTGCTCCCTGCTCCTCCCAGTAACCAGGTGTCATCTCCGGCAGGTGGAGGTACCGAAGCTGCTGCAGTAGGGAGCGGGACGGCTTTTCCCCCCGCAGCTCAGCGTGGTGGACCCCAGGACACTCGCCTTTCTCCTGACTGTTGCCATGACCAAGCCCTTTGGGACCCTGCAGTGACCGACGCCGAGGAGCAGCGATGTCCCTGGGGTGGGATGGATGGAGGAAGGGCCGGCCCAGGCCAGCACGCGGCGCGGGAGGAGGACGCTCTATTTATTGTTCTGATGGTTGTGAAGCCTTCAAGCTCTTTCTTTTGCCAGCACCGTGTCCCCCGGCTCTGCCCGGCCACC